TTTTTTTTTTTTTTTTAACCAGAGTCTCGCTTTGTTGCCAGGCTAGAGTGAGTGCCATGGCGTCAGCCTACGCTCACAGCAGACTCACATCTCCTGGGCTCAAGCCATCCTCTGCTCAGCTCCAGTAGCTGGGACTACAGGCATGCGCCACCCATGCCCGGCTAATTTTTTCTATATATATTATTGGCAATTAATTTCTTTTAGTTTATAGTGAGAGACGACGGTCGAGGTCTCGCTCTTGCTCAGGCTGTTTTCGAACTCCTGACCTCGAGCAATCCTCCCGCCTAGGCCTCCCAGAGTGCTAGGATTACAGGCGTGAGCCACTGTGCCCAGCCTATTGACTAAAAATATTTTATAATTTTATAGATAAAACCTTAAAACACCTAAATTTTACATTAATATAATGATTGGAAATTACTTATTCTTTTCTCCAAGGGCTTTCACTTTTCACTGATTAGTACAAAGGCTATTAAGATTTTGAGCAGATAGGTCACTATTGTATTTACTAGTCAATACTTTATTATGTGTATTTATTATATGTATGGTTGCTTTGTTGTAAGAATATTGATTTGAATTTGAGAACTCAATAATTTTGTTTTTTACTTTAATTCCATAGCATGTCTCTTCCAATCCATTCTTATTGACATACAGATTAATATTAAAATACATGGCATGACATGACACCAAAAGCACAAGCAACAAAATGGAAAACAAAGAGCTGAGTGTGATGGCTCATGCCTATAATCCCAGCCACTCAGCTGAGGTGGGAGAATCACTTAAGGCCAGAAGTTTGAGACAAACCTGGGCAATGGTGAGATGCCCATCTAAAAACTTTTGTAAAAATTAGCCAGGTGTTGTGGCACAAGTCTATAGTCCGAGCTACTCAGAGGCTGAGGCTGGAGGATTGCTTGAGCCTTGGAGTTTGAGGTTGCTGTGAGCTAGGCTGACACCACAGCACTTTAACCTGAGCAAGAAATTGAGACTCTGTCTCAAAAAAAAAAAAAACAAAAAAAACCCCACAGTGAGATACCACCTCATACTCACTAGCATAGTTATAAGCAAAAAGACAGATGGTAAGTGTTGGCGAGGATGGGGGGAAATTAGAACCTTTATGCATTGTTTGTGGGCATGTACGTTCGTACAGCTACTTTGGAAAACAGTTTGATAGCTTTTCTCAAAAAGTTAGATATAGAATCACAGGTTGAGTATCCCTAATCTGAATATCCAAAATCTGAAATGCTCCAAATCCAAAACTTTTTGAGTGCTGACATGATGCCCAAAGGAGATGCTCATTGGAGCATTTCGGGTTTTAGATTTTTGGATTAGGAATGTTCAACTAGTATGATGCAAATCTTCCAAAATTAGAAAAAATCCTAAATCCAAGACATTTCTGGTCCCATGTATTTTGGATAAGGGATACTCAACCTGTACCATGTGACTCGGCAATTTCACCCCAAGAGAATTGCAAACATATCCACATAAAACTTTTACATGAAGGTACATAGCAATATTATTCATAATAGCCAAAAAGTAGAAACAGCACAAATGTCCTCAGCTGATGAATGGACAAAATGTGTATATGCATATAATGGAATATCATTCACTCACTAAAAGGAATGCATTATTATTTTTTTTTTTGGAGACAGAGCTCACTATTGTTGCCCTTGCTAGAGTGCCATGGCATTACCCTAGCTCACAGCAACCTCAAACTCCTGGGCTCAAGCAATCCTCCTGCCTCAGCCTCCCGAGTAGCTGGGACTACAGGCATGTGCCACCATGCCCGGCTAATTTTTTCTATATATATTAGTTGGCCAATTAATTTCTTTCTATTTTTAGTAGAGACAGGGTCTCACTCTTGCTCAGGCTGGTTTTGAACTCCTGACCTTGAGCAATCCGGGCCTCGGCCTCCCAGAGTGCTAGGATTACAGGTGTGAGCCACCTCACACAGCCTGTTTTATTTTTTGAATGTTGTAGTGTCTCTGTGCCAGTGATCAGAAATGTAAATTTAAGGTCTGCTCAGGTCTTTTATGAGCCTGCACCTTTCACTGGGCATGTATAGTCTCTATTTAAATGCCCTCAGATGCAGTTGCTTTTGAATATCCTGCTCCTTAAGTGTCTGGCTTTCAAAGAAGGAAAAGAAAACAATGGAGAGGGACAAAAACCAGATGCTGGCCTTTTAAATCCTCTGAAAATTGCTTTACTCAGAGAGGGAGAAGTTTGCAACAGTGGCTGCTCCTCCCTGATCAGAAGCAGCAATTGTGATCAGAGCACAGATTTCCCAATACTTGGAGGACAGGTCCTTATTGGCCCACCTTGGCTTTCAGAAGCTGTGCACAAGCTTCTTCAGGAACAGGTGCATGGCTGCCTGCCATGGGATGGGGGTGAGGTAGGGATACTGTTACTGTGCCAAGAGCTGAAATTAAACTTAATTTACTTTCCAATCCTTCCTCTTGAAGTTGCAAGCCTTCAGTAGACTCCAGAGTTCCAAAGTAGTTACATCAGACAGATTGTGCCAATGCAACTGTGGTCTAGGTGGGGAGTCAGATTCCTGGTGTTGCTTATTCTGTCATCTTCCTTCTGTCTTATAAATCAATTTTTCAAGCAGAGTAGTACAACACAGTTGAGAATTAGTCTCCTATATTGCTATAGCTCTAGACTAATGCTTTATAATCAGCACTTTTCTTTGTCTACCTAATAAGGTAATTATTTGCATGTGTAATTACTTACATTATTTACATGTCTTTCTAACTATACTGCGAACTCTTCTACTAGTCCTACCATAATATACATAAAATATATTCCAAAATTATTTGAAAGAATGGTTACATTATTAATACAATTTCTTCTCCATTTCCTCGGCATTGACTTGTAATTTTAAAGATCTTAAAGTTTGGACCCAGGAAAATTGAAGGAGTTTACATCCAGGGATTTTATTTCAGTAGAATGGTACAACAAGGTCATCCATCTGTTAAAAGCCATTGGATGAGGATGAGTTTCAAAGCCGCAAGAGATGTAGAACAACTGCTGTGTGGACTTCAGGGAGCAAACTAATAGGAATGAATTTTTTTTTTTTTTAAATGCCGATTGGCAGCTAAGCCCCACGTGAGGTTGGACAGTATGCATTTGTAATGGCTTTAATGCCTTTCTCCAGGAGTGCTCCATAGCATAGAAGTAGAGCAGAGAAAATGAATGCCTGGGATAATCTAGGTTTAGAGAATGCCAGAGATACTAGGAAAATCATGAACTAAGTGCTGAGCTAGAAAAGTAGATGTGAGGAAGGGTGATATATAACGGCAAGGAGAGTGTGGAGAGCATACATAATAGGGGAAAAAGGAAATGGCGAGAGATGAAGAAAGGAATGATCTGGAGTCTAGATGGCAAGTGAGGATTAATTTGCTCTTTTCCACTGATTGGAGAAAATGATAGAAAATTTTACTGTGAAGCCCTGAATTTTACATTTGCAATTAGCATATGTATTCCTCCACTGAACAGATATTTAACAAGCTTTTTTTGCTTGTCAGGCTCTGTGCTCAGTACTGGGACAACACACATGCAAAAGTAAAATTTACCTCTGAAATTCTGGTGCCTAACAGTGGTTGGCATGCAGTAAATACCTGTTGATTTTAATTGATATTTATACTGTCTGATACACCAGAGAGAACTTTCTGTTAGTTGACAGTAGCAGCAGGGCTATACTAATTGTGTGATCTTCCACCTTACTTTTTGTTATGTGTAGACTCTCGTATAGTCTGTCTGGATGATTTGGATTGATTTTCCTATTTAAATTCAATAGAAAAATTGTGAATCTCTCTTTGACTTTGTGGGGAGGCAATACAAACTCATAAAGCATGTATTCCTGTTTAGAGAATTATCAGTTGGATAGCGAGAATCTTAGATAAAATGGGAAATCAAATTTTATATCAGTAACCATGTGAATGATAGTTAAGAAGTTGTACTTTTTAACTTTTCATATTGAAATAATTTTGGATTTACAAAAAAGTTGTAAAAATAGAACAAGGAATTCCAGTTTTCCCAGTATTAGCATTTTATATAACCATAGTGAAATGATCAAAACCACAAAATTAACATTGGTAAATACTTTAATCTACAGACCTTATTCAAATTTCTTCAGTTGTCCCACCAATGTCCTTTTTTTCTGGACTAGCATTCGGTCCAGGATTATATCTTGTCTCTGTGGCTCCCTCACCTCCTTTAATCTGGAACAGTTCCTCAGTCTTTGTCTTTTATGATCTTGACACTTTTGAAGAGTACTAACTAACTATTTTGTGAAATGTACATCAATTTGGATTTATCTGATCTTTCATGATTAAGTTCAAGTTAGTGCTTTTTTGGCAAATATGCTAGAAGATTAATGTCGTGTCCTTTCCAGTACATCATATCAGGAGGCACATGGTGTTGATGTGTCTCATTACTGTTGACATTAATTTTGATCATTTGATTAAGGAAGCTCTGGGGGTTTCTCATCTGTTAGCGTTTCCCCGTTTTTAATGAGGATCCTGTGGGGAGATGCTTTGAGACTATGTAAATATCCTGTTTCACTTCATGCTTTTACCCACTAATTTTATCATCCATTAGAATTCTTTTTTAACAGTTATTACTAGTTTACCAAATGGTGATTTTCTTTCCATCATTTCTTCTATAATTAACAATTGGAATTCCGTGAGAAAGAATTTTTCTCTTCTCTCCCGTTTATTTACTTATTCAGTTATTTATTTATATCACTGTGGACTCATGGTAATAATTTGTTTTATTACTGGAGTTACAATCCATTACTGCCATTATGTATTTTATTGCTCAAATTGTCACAGATTTGGCCATTTGGAAGCTCCTTCAGGTTGACTTCTGTATCCTTGTAACATGTCCCAGTTATTTTTTGAGCTTTTCTTTTCTGGTACCACAAGCTATTCCATGTTTATCTTTAGACAGTATTTCTTTTAATATGTGGTTTGCATTTCAAATTATTTTTTGCTCTTTTTTAGGTATGAGGATACATGGGCTGCACTTCACAGAAGAGCCAAGGAATGTGCAAGTGCTGGAGAGGTAAAGAATTGGCTGATGTTATACTCATAGTAAAATTTTCTTTTTCAGTGTTAAATTTTAGAAATTAAAATTTATAATTTTATGTACTAAAATATTTTGTAGGCTATCAGAAATTGGATCTAGTAGTTGATTATGAAACTTTCTGAATAAAGCATATTTTTATAATTTCTCAGTCAAGTAATTTAGTTGATAACTTTAATTCCAAAGACAGGTAAATATTTGATTCATCTTGGTATAATGCTTTGAATTTGAGTCTGATCGCTTTGCAATTTTATATATAAATTACAAGATATAATTTCCTTCTGTCCACTATTTAAGAATTCTGTACTATTTGGCCAAAAGTTTACTTTGCTCAGTCTACCTAAAATCATAAATTTGCTTGCCAGATTATTACAAAAATTTCAGGGGTCATCCTCAACTCTTAGAAGAAAAAACTGTTTTTAAACACTATGTATATTGAATAAAAGTGACTTGTAATTAAAATTATTTGGTATATGTACTTAAAGTATTATTAGTTTAGCTAAAATCAAATACTCTGTGTTATTGATGTGAATCAAACTTTATTTCTTTCTAAAAAGATTTCTGTAATTCTGACTTCAATTAGACTGACTTTCTTTACCATTTACCTAAGTTAGTGAAGCCATGCTAGGTATATAGAACACAGGAGTATATATGATGAACTGTAGATCCTAGCATTTGTTTTAGAAATTACTGAAAAGGGAGGAATGTAGGTTTCTGGCAGTAAGGCAGACTAAAAGCCTGATAGCTATAAAAACACTTAATGCTGGATATATTTTTTAAAAATTCTTTAAGATGCTTTAAGCTCACAAAAATCAAGAGAAACCTAACAACAACAACAACAAAAAGAATAGGGAACTGAAATCAGAGTGGTTATAAAAATGAAACGTGGAAGCTGGCATCAAATACTAAAACAAAAGCTTAGAGATTCATGAGGATAAGAGACTTTGTTTATGGGGAACTGAATCCAAGACTCCTAATAAAGCTTTTTGACCTTTGAAGTGGCTATATCCCCTTGTGAAAGGGTAAGCTAGAAAAAAAATATACACCTGTTGGCCAATGGAGTCAAGGAGGAAACATCTCTGTTTTAATTACGAGTTGGCCTAAATATAATCTCCTTCTGGATTTGTTACAATGGTCTTATCCTCACCCGAGTGTGGAGTTATAAGTTATACTTCCTGTGTGATCAAGGAACCTGTGTGTTAAGAAATAAGAGAGTTGCAGATGACTGTATTCTTTGACACTCCACATAAACAAAAATTCTCCATGAATGAAATTGTTTAAATCTAGTCTCCTCAGATTTCCATAGACCAGGTCAGGTCCCTCCCCCAAAATATTAACAAACGCACAAAGAAGTAAACTACCAAAAGTTTGATTTGCCAGAGCCAAACAGTAAGATTTAGATCTGCGGAAGACTTTAGATATTGCACTATTGAATGTAGACTATTAAATAGGTATATACAAATCTTTGAAGAGATAAAAGATGAATTGATTTAAAAATGAGTAAGGAATAAGATACTATCAAACATGATTTTAAAGTCATTGAAATTAAAAACCCAAAAGATGTGCTTAACAGCAATTAGATACAGCTGAAGAAAGAATTAGTGAAGGCCTGGCGTGGTGGCTTGGGCCTGTAATTCTAGCACTCTGGGAGGCCAAGGCGGGCCGATTGCTTGAGATCAGGAGTTCGAAACCAGCCTGAGCAAGAGAGAGACCCCCTCTCTACTAAAATAAGGAAGAAATTAATTGACCAACTAAAAATATATATACAAAAAATTAGCCGGGCATGGTGGTGCATTGCCTGTAGTCCCAGCTACTCGGGAGGCTGAGGCAGTAGGATCACTTGAGCCCAGGAGATTGAGGTTGCTGTGAGCTAGGCTGATGCCATGGCACTCACTCTAGCCTGGGCAACAAAGTGAGACTCTGTCTCAAAAAAAAAAAAAAAAAAAAAAGGAAAGAAAGAAAGAAAAAGAATTAGTGAAGTAGAAGAGTCAAAAAGACTCTCTAAAAAGAAAGGATCTCTGAGAAAGAAAATGAAAAATATGAAAGAGAAGTTAGAGAATAATTATAAAAGATCTTCAGGTTGAACTAAGTGAGATGGCCAATATTTGACCAATTTTGATCTCTAAAATTGCAGTTTCATATGGGTATGTGTCTCCAGTAAACATTCCAGAAAAAGAGAATGAGAGAGAGAGAATGTAGAAAAAGATAAATGGCTGAGAATTTTCCATAAATGAGATTGTAAATTCTTAGATCTCTGTAGAAAGTACAAGCAAATAAGATAATTATCCACATACAGAACACTGAAGAAAAGGAGATCTCAAAATAACCATAGAGAAGAGACAGATTACTTATCAATGAATGTGTTCCACAGCAGACTTCTCAAAATGTTATCAAGAATTAGGGTAAAAGTTAGACTTTTTTAGATAAAAACAAGAGTGTTCTATCAACAGTCCCCCAGTAAAGGCCTTCTAAAGAATAATTCAGGAAAAAAGGAATACAATTTTGGAAGATAGGTCTGAGATGTAGGAAGGAATAATGAACAGAGAAAATGGTAAATATAAATAAATCTGAATAAACAGTGCATATATATATATCAGTTATCTAATTTGTGGGATTTAAAATAATGGAGCAAGATAAAACAATAATGCTGGATAACAAAACGTGTAAGCTGGAAGGCAGATCGTCAGAGTCCAAACATTTTAAGACTTCTGTCTTACTTGTGGGGAGCATGTAGATATTTGAGGGAGGGTGTATAGATATTGAAAGGTAAATATCTAAAGCATCCATTAAGGGTTGGAATCCATTTCTTTCAGACTCCTGTTAATGTTGATATTTGCTCCTCCTCCCATGAATCACAAATATGCTTAATGGCATCTTCAATGGTGAATCCTTTCTGGAAGGTTTTCAATTTACTTTTCCCGGGTCCATAGAAAGAATCACTGTCTATGGCAGCTATAGCCTTACAGAATTTATTTCTTAAATAATACGAGTTGAATGTCAAAATGACTCCTTGATTCACGGCCTTCAGAATGCATGCTGTATTAGGAGGCATGAAAACAACATTATATAGCTCCATCAAAGTTCTTGGGTGGCTAGGTGCATTGTTAATGAGCGGTAATGTTTGGAAAGGAATCTTTTTCTGAGTAGTAGGTCTTAATAGTGGGCTTAAGATATTCAGTAAACCATGTTGTAACCATATATGCTGTCATCAGGCTTTGTTGTTCCACTGATAGAGCACAGATAGAGTCAATTCTTAAGGCCCCTAAGATTTTCAGAATAGTAAATGCGCATTGGTTTTAACTTAAGAGTCTACCAGGTGTAGTAGCCCATGTCCTTTAAGCTTTGAAGCAAGGCATTGACTTCTTTCTAGCTCTGAAAGTCCTAGATGACATCTTATTCCAATAGGAGGCTGTTTTGTCTACATCAAAAACATGTTGTTTAGTAACCACCTTCACTGATCTTAGCTAGATCTTTTGTATAACTTGCTGCAGCTTCTATTAATATATCAGCACTTCCTGCTTCACCTTGTACTTGTATATTATGGAGATAGCTTCTTTCCTTAAATTTCATGAACTAACCTCTGATAGCATAAAACTTCTGCAGCTTCCTCACCTCTCTCAAGCTTCATAGAATGGAAGAGAGTTAGGGCCTTGCTCTGGATTAGGCTTTGGCTTAGGGGAATGTTGTAACTGGTTTGATATTCTATCCAGGTCACTAAAACTGTCTGTATCAGGAATAAGGCTGTTTCACTTTCATATCATTTGTATGCTCATTGAAGTAGCACTTTTAATTTCCTTTAAGAACTTTTCCTTTGCATTCACAACTTGGCTAACTCTTGCAAGAGGCCTAGCTTTCAGCCTATCTTAGCTATTGACGTGTCTTCCTCACTAAGCTTAATCATTTCTAGTTTTTGAGTTAATATGAGAGAATACCTAGAGACCATTGTAGAATTATTAATTGGGCTAATTTCAATATTGTCGTGTCACAGGGAATAAGGAGGCCCAAGGGGAGAGGTAGAGAGACAGGAAAATGGCGGGTGGGTTGAGCAGTCACACACAACATTTATTAAGTTTGCCATCTTACATGGGTGTGGTTTGTGGTACCTCAAATCAATGACAATAGTAACATAAGAGATCACTAATCATAAATCACCATAACAGATGTAATAATGATGAAAAAGTTTGGAATATTTCAAGAATTACCAAAATGTGACTCAGAGGAAGTGAGCACATGCTGTTGGAAAAATAGACTTGCTTGATGCAAGGTTGCCACAAACCTTCAATTTGTAAGAAAAGACAGTATCTGTGAAGCACAGTAAAATGAGGTGCAATAAATCAAGGAATGCCTATCATTGGGAGGAAAAATATATACTGGGCAAGTACTAACCAGAAGGAAGTGGATATGTTAATATTGGTGAAATAGACTTAAAAAGAAAAAAACAGTGTGAGGAAGAAGAGGATCATTAAATATAAGATTCAGTTCCCTCATGGGGGAAAAAGTCTAAACTTGTGTATACCTAATAAAAGTCTCAGAATATATAAAGCACAAATAGAATTACAAGGAAAAAATAGATAAATCCACATTCAAAGTGGGACAATTTTAATACATTTCCCTTAAATAACAAGAAAAAAGCAGATAAAGTAAGCATGGGATATAGACGATTTGACTCATGTGCTTAACAAATTTGACCTGATGGACAAATATAGAGTACTACCCCAACAAATATAGGATGCACATTTTTTTAAAGCATACCTGGAACACTTGTAAAAATTGACCATATTGGGCTACAAAGCAAGTCTCAGCAAGTTTCATATAAATAAAGTCATAGAGAATTAATCTCTGATCCCAGTCCAAATAAAGCTGAAAGTCAGTGCAGGAAAACAGTTTTTAAAACTCCGTATTTGGAAATTAAAAATACATATTACGACTGATTTGTGGTTCAAAGAAGAAAAAATGTTGTAAATTTAAAAATAGAACTA